GGAAACCTGTCTATTTTATGCTTAAGTGTGATGAAGAATGAACAGTGTGGCAGAAATGTGATTGGACAAAGGGAGTATAATTTCATGGCCATATACCAGGGGGAGTTTAGCAAGGTCTGATTGCTCACATTCTTCTCTGTGTCCCTGTGTCTTCAAGATGAGGACATTTTGTTCTGCCAGCTATATGGAGTGCACCTCTTGGAATGAGGGTCTTACGTTCTACTTTAGAGTAAACTCAGAATTCCTTTAAGGCCTATTTCAGGGGAAAAGGGGAGGAGAAGGTCAAAGAGACCTTCTGCTACTGCTGTTTTCTCAAATGCTAAGGTGCCATATTTTGGGGGTAGTGGATTCTAAACTCCGTCAGGACTAACTTAAAGAGCAGGTTAAAATAATTAAACTACAGCTGAGTCATCTTGAAAGGAATAGGGGAATATCAGAATGAAAGAGAGCACAATAATATCCCAGTAGTGTAATAAATTAAAAACTTAAGGAAAAGCAATGTTTATGGATGAGCACCTGGCAAAGATGTTGACTTTCACCAGGTTTCCAGGGCACAGACCTTAGAAACATCTGGAATCTGATAAGCATTACTGTCCAGTCAGTCTTTATTAGATGATGAATGAGGCAGTCTTTATTAGATGCTGATGATGAATGGAATATTGGGAAATCAGAGAAAATTATAAGGCTGATATGTAAGGCATTAAAGGCATCTAGAAGAGTTTAGATTTAATATATATTCTGGGAAGTATTTTGATTAAAACAAGAGGAAAAGAAAACCTAAAGTATATTAATAGCGTTAGAATCAGAGAAGAAGGGACACATTAGGGAAAAAAAATGAACATTCAATTCATTTTGAAAAGGAGAATGGGGGTAGAGATATTTATTTTATTACATCTAACAATTCAAAGAAGGAATAAATACTGCTAAGGCATTGAGCCTGGAGATAAGCATGTGATGGTGATCTAGACAGAACTAGGGAACACGGCAATGAACATAAAAGAGAAAGGTCAGAGCCAGAGATGGATAATTTGGAAAGTTCTGCATAAGAAGAATCTTTCAAGTCAAAGGGTAACAGAATCGCTAAGCCAAGTAGAAAGCAGTGAGGCTGGAAGGAAGCTAAGGCCATGGCTCTAGGGGAGCTCCCATGAGCCAAATGCCCTTTCTTGCCACCTATTTTTGTAAATACAGTTTTAGTTCACCATAGCCTTGATCCTTCATTTATATATTGTTTATAGTTGCTCTTGTGCTCCAAGGGAAGAGTTGAGTAGTTGACACAGAGACCAAATGGCTTGCAAAACCTGAAGTATCTGGCCTTTATAGAAAAAACTTGTCAACCCCAGATAAAAGAGGAAGAGCTACCAGAAAAGACATGCTAAAAAGGAAGTCTGAACCCAAGAAAGCATAGCTGCAAGGAAGTCAAGAGAGAATAAGATTTTAAAGGAGTAGGTGAAAAAAAAGTATACAATGGATGTGGGGAGGATGAGGCTTAGGGGAAAAAATTTTTGAACATTATGACTAGCAAATAGTTATTTGCCATTCCGAAATATCAATTTCTAGATGGGCCAAACCTAACACAAAATACTCAAGAGATGTATTTCTTTCTCACTTCCTATCTTCTTTTCTTCCTTCTTTAGTATTAAAACAATCTATTTCTTTCTGCCTTGCTTCCTTCTTTTCGTTCTTCTTTAATATTAAAACAGTATTAAAACATTTCTTCCTTCTTTAGTAGTAAACATTCCTTCTTTTCTTCCTTCTTTAATATTAAACTTGTAGCACTGATTCAGGTGCTGTTGGAAGATACCTAAAGACAAGAGGCACACCCATAGAAAGTCCTGTAGTAAAATAGTACGAGGTTTTAACAAGACAATATATGTGAAAATGTAATACACTATATGAAATTAAAGAAATTTGCATTGAGGCAATACATTACCACATACCATATACATGGTTTGGACGGAGTGCTTTACATTTAGTGGCTATTGTCAATAAAATGTCAAAGCAGGCTTTGAGAAATTTGGGATTATAGTATAATTTGGACAGCACAAACAAATTCTTACTATCTTTGTGACCTTGGGACAAGTTACTTAATTTCTCTTCATTTTACTTTGTTCATCTGAAAAACTGGTAAAATCATCACCCATTCCATAGAACTATCCCTCATATTCACCCTGGCATCTTCATTTCCATTGCATGATTTACAGGCCTGTATATTATTCATGCTCTGTTGATTGTCTAGTTTCATCTCTCACCTTCCTCACGGCAGACTCACTTCAGCTACATGAGCACTGCTTGTCTTTGCAACATTTCACCAATTCTTCTGTCTTCCTGGAAAGTACTCCCCACCTTGATCTTGTTATGCTGATAAATTTCTACGCCTTCTTAAAGACTTGGCTGAAACATGATCTGCTTTGTGACTTATTCATGTTCCCTTGAAAAATTTAAAGCATCATACTCTGCATTTCCACAGTGCCTCATACTTAAAGCACTTAGACTTAAGGTGATCAAATAATTTATCATCCTAACTGAGGCACTTTTAAAAGTGAAAGAGGATGCCATTAGTAATTATGCTGGGACAACAGACCTAAACTAGGACTGTCCCAGACAAACTCAGATCCATGGTCACTCACCTTTTCCTTATGTTGTGGTAATAGGTAATAATTTTTTACTTGTCTGTCATCTCCTCCCCACCCCCAACAAAATATACACATATATGCACAATCCTTAAATCCCTGGAAGGGGATGGCCTCAGTGCCCGGTATGATGACTGACACATAGGAAGCCGTTGATTAGTCAATTAATGTATTGATTAAATCATAATTTTATTGGAAGAGAACATTATAGCACAGAAAAAGAAAAGGAGATTGGAGGGTTCCTTTACAAGCAAATAAACTCCCCTGAGTAGAACGGATGTTTGGGGATTGGAACATAATTTGGGAAAAGATTTGGGAACTCTTGATCCTCAATCAGGATAAGGAATTTTTAACAGTGGAGGAAGGAGAAGGTTAAAAAAAGAATAATATGAGGATAACGGATAATTTTATGCAAGGTGAATTGGAGTGAATGGAAAGAAGAGGGAACTGCAGAGACTATTTGGATAAAATATTAAATTATGAAAGCCTGGATTAGGAATATTTGCCATTTTACGTTTTATGCTTGAGGTAAAAGTTGAGACCCTTTAGACTGCAAGTAACAGAAATCCGAATTAGCCTGGTTTAATCAAAAAGGGGAAATTGGCTGGATGCGATGGCTCAGGCCTGTAATTCCAGCACTCGGGAGGCTGATGTAGAAGGATCACTTGAGGGCAGGCATTTGAGACCAGACTGAGCAACAGAGCAAGACCCCATCTCTACAAAAAATAAAAAAAGAATTAGCTGGGTGTGATGATGCACAACTTAGACCCAGCTACTTAGGAAGCTGATGGTGGAGAATCAGTTGAGTCCAGGAGTTTGTGGCTGCAATGAGCTATAATCATGCCACTGAACTCCAGCCTAAGTGACAAAGTGAGACCCTGTCTCAAAAGAAAATAAAAGGGGGTAGAAGGACTGAATTTATCAACTCAGCAAGCATAAATATGTAGGCATTGCTAGATCCAGGTTCTCAAACAGTGTTATCTCATTAGAAATCTTCTCTCCTCTTAGTGCTGCTTCTTACTGTATCAGATTCATTTTCAGTCAATTTCTCCCCAAAATGGCCTTCAGAAACTTTCAGCCTACTTTCTACCAGCATAACAACCGCAGTAGAAAGAGAACACTGCTTTGCCAACAATTCTAGCAAAAATCCTAAACAACTTTCTCATTGGATACCTGCCCATTCCTGAACAAATCACTGTGATGCAAGGGGTTATGGTCTGACTGGCGGGGCCTTGGTTATGTGCCCACTCCAGATGACAGAGTCAGCTTCGCCGGAACCAAATAATCTAAGTGTGGGGGGGTGGGGGGGTGAAGGGAGGGATGAGAGACACAGATAGAAGCAGGGAGATCTTGCTAAAGGAAAACTAACTTGTTTTGAAAAGAAAGAAAATGGGTATTAGGAAGCAAAACCAATAATGTTCTCCACATAAAGCCTATGGTGTTATTTGTTAGTTTGAAGATAACAGTGAGCTCCTTTAGATCATCAAAATCAAATCACAGAAAAAAAATTGTTAAGAGTAACATAAAAGTAATGATATTTCAAATGAGCAAGAATAAAAAAATATTTGTTTTGAAGTACTTTAGATTGCATTTATGCAAGATATTTAAAATATGAGCTAAAATATAATTTGTTACCTTTAACCTTATAAATATGTTGTTTATTATAGTAGTAGACATCTCATGCTTATTATCTATAGAAAACAGAAATTATTTCACCTTTCCATCCAAACTATAAATGCAACAGTGTAGAAATGTCTGATTACTGATCTTTGAGAAAGCCATTATGGAGCCACAGGAGGGTTGAAAGGATGGTTTAAATGGCCCAATTTTTGTTGAATTTATATATAGTTTTATTGTGGAAACAATTAATAAAACTCTGTAGTCTGATATGACAAGGTCTCTGGATTTAAGAAATATTCATCAATTTGTTTGTAGAATTGATAGCATAATTCTGGAAAAACTACAAATGTGAATTTTCCCATGGTACGATTTTAGTGTTCCTAGTTGTCTAGATTAAAAACAATTTTTAGAAAGAATGTCTATTATTAAATTAGAAAAAAAAAACAAAAACGTTTTCATTAAGAGAAAGAAGATTTATGACATACAGGGAAACTAGCATTGACCTTTGAAGTGATGTCACTGTGGTCCTTCTCACAGGTTTTTGTTGTTGTTTTTGTTTATTTTTTCCATAAATATCCATGGATATCTCAGAAACAATATTGGGTTGGATGGACCATTGATCTGAAATAATGTGATAATTCTCTTATGTAAATATTAATAAAAACCATTTCCACAGCATCATGGCTGTAGGTGATAAGAATTTAATCATAGTCAATGATACCTTACTAAATCATTTTGATTCCTTTCAAGAATGTACCTTTCAAGAACAAGTTTCTGACGCAGAAAATAACCTGAACCAAGAATCCAGCTTGGTGGAAGCCATCTTTAAAGTATTGTACCATTGCAGTTTTTCTCCACAAACATTTGGAAATGTTTTTGTGAGCTACATGGAAGAAGAGCAATTATGGGACTTTTTATATAACATCCCAGGTATGAGACATTTACTGTTTGTAAAAGAAATGTTCTATAGATACTTATATATGCCTTTAAAGATGTTTAGAAGTTGTATTGATACTGGTTTTGCTGAATCTGTTGTTTGTAAAGTTTACCTTACGTTTTTTCAGTATAAAGCCTTCTGTTGGAAATCATTAATTATTAGTTCCTGTAAAATTACATATACTTTGGGACAAGATGGAAGGGAGATTGAAAGGAAAATATTTTCTTTTTTTAATAATTAGGGAAAGTTCTATCATAAAAATTATTTTAATATTTATCACAGATTATGTTTTGCTATTGAGCATATAAGATATTAGTAAGATGTGAAAAGTATTTTGTGATTCTTGGGTGCATTTATTCAGCAACTTAATGTACAGTTCTATTGGTCAATTCCTTCAAATGTATAAGGCATTTATTATTATGACCATAGTGTGTCTCTGTACAAGGCAAGCATGTCCTGTGATCCCTTTGGAGAGAATATATTTTTTCCATCTGTATTCTTCTTCTTCCTTTAGCTAGAAAGGATAATAAAGACAATGCATGTTACATATTTGAACAGGAGATTTTGATGGGCTGCCTGTCATCTGACCAGTGTAAAGATTCTCACATTGTCTCATCCTTAATATTCTGCCTTTAAATTTTCATATTTAATATCTTGGGAAAACAAAGAATGAAAACTTAGACAATGATGATGATGATGATTATCCTGCTATTCCAATAGGATTTTTATTATTTACATTTAGTTTTCAACCTATAAACTTTCTTATATACTGCTTTGGAACCTGAATTTTCATTAAATATTTTGCTAGGCTCCATATAAAAGATCCAACTAGTTCATAATCATGGTTTCATTCCTCCTAGAGTTTTTGAATATCCTCCTGATATTACTTGAATATTATTCTAGCTGTTTTTAAGTCATTATGTTTCATCTTCTCTTGGTCATTATCCCTATGAAATAGCAATAGATAACTTCATGTTATGATTTTCAAAATTCAAATCTGTCATTTAAAGTTTTGGTAATAATGATCTCCTTTTAAAGTGTTATCTCCTAGTTTCCATTCATTCCCTTACTGCTTCTTGCTTCCCCAGGGGAAGGGCATATTTCTAGGTAAAAAGATTGAATTAGGAGCTTGTGTTTCTCATGTAGTCTTCACTGAATTGAAAGAAAAAAGTTCTTGAAAGTCCTACCACCCTCTGCTGCTTTTAGTTGTTTCTGGGGAAGTAAGAGCTGGATTTTCTCACAAGGTTATAAAGAATCTATGACCCTCATGCTTCAACGTCTATCCTTGTACTGTTAGGTTCTCGAACCATCTTTGACACTCACCACAAAACTATACTGAAAATGACCTGGAAGATATCAATGAATTTCAGGTGCTGCTGAGGGAAAATGAAACTGTTTCTTGCTCCTAATTTGACTTCTCTCCATCTGCATATTGAGAAAACCCTCCTCCAAATGATCAGACAAGTCTCTGGAAACAGATGTTCCACATATTCAGAGTCAGAATTATGTGTGGAAGCTCAAAGGGGCAGAACTTCAAATGCAAATGGGTGAAACTCCCCTATCCTTGGTACAAGTTGTTGCTCCATAAACATGAAATAAACTCTGGAACCTGATGCCTGAAGTGGTCATGAGGGTCTGAACTTTTATCTTTTCTCTCCTATTTAAGTCTTTGAAAAGGTCTTTTTCTTTCTTCTGTTAGCAATCATGGTTATTTTTAAAATCCTAATAAGATAATACAAGGTACTAATTCATAACAAAATTAAGCCTTTTACTATGACTTTTGTTTAATTTGAAAACATAACATGTTTACAAGAAATACAGCTGAGACATGTAGTCATAAACCCACAATATTTACATTTTATTAATAATAGATCTATGCTTCAGTAAACATAATTAACCTACCCAGCTTAACTAAAGTACGTCTTTTTAAAACTTCACAGCTGGAGTTTCCTCCTGCTAAATCACTCTATAATTTCAGCATGGCTTACCTATAAAACATCGCAGTCTTATCCTTTTAGGGTAAAAGGACAAAGATGAAATGGTCAGTATTTTCATCTTATTGTTGAGTAAACAGAAAGCAGAGATATTAAGAGAGTTGCCTAAGATTGTCCTCCAATTAAGTTGGACAGACTTAGCACAGGAAACCAGATCGCCTCTCTCCTGAGCCAACAGTCCCCAAACTCTTTGGCACCAGGGACCGGTTTCATGGAAGACAATATTTCTAGCAGGAGGGGTATAGTTTTGGGATGAAACTGTTCCAGCTCAGATCATCAGGCATTGGTTAGAGTCTCATAAGGAGCAAACAACCTAGTTTCCTCGCATGCGCAGTTCACAATAGGGTTCACGGTCCTATGAGACTTCAAAGCCACTAATGATTAACAGAAGCTCAAGCGGTAATACTCACCCACCTGCTGCTCACCTCCTGCTGTGTGGCCCACTTCCTAACTGGTCACAAACTGGTACTCGTCTGCAATCTGGGGGTTGGGGACCCTATCCTAGGCCATGTTATTTCTCTTTTTTTTTTCTATTAGACTAAATTTTTTTGAGACACTACCTTTATAAACATATGAATTCAGTAATGAATTATACAGTCTGATTTTATAATTGGAATTCTAACTAACACATAACTCCTTAGGGTGGACATGAGCCAGGGAGGGAAGACAAGAATGAAAATACCCACTTAAGATTACTGCAAAAGCTATAAATACAAAAATAATTAAGTTAGGGACCTAATGTGGGCGTTTCTAAGGCCAATGCACTCTATAAGAAATAAATTTGTGAACAATCATTGGACACTTATGTTTTCAAAGTAAATCAAGCATTTTTCAGTTAGACAAATGAAAATATCCAAGCATAGGTTGCTTCAGCTGGTCTTTCAGATGATGTCAAAATAGGCTTGTAAATGAGGCAAATACTGTCAAAAATGGCCCATTTAATATGAAAGTAATATACTCAACAAATATTGTTCACCTGGCTCCTCGATATGGCATTGAGCTTACTTTTGTTTTCTGACTCAGTTTTCTTAACTCTCTCACAAACTTTGGGAAAAAAGCTTTCAATAATGTAGGAAAATTTCCCAGTTAAAGGTTGAGATCCAGAGTTTCCACTTTGGTTCTCTACTCCTCCTCAGCCTCATAAAGGCCTTTAAGAAGAGTTGTTTAGAGAGCATATATGTGCTAAATTGTCTTCTTGTTGCCAAAAGTAGTTTACAGTATCTTACCTTCCCATTAGGCACAGTGATTGGCTCTATCACCTACATAAATACCTGCAGCATAGTGTAGGCAGATTTTAAATGTAACCTTTCACATATTGAAAGGCTGTCTTTTTTCTGTGTTGTAACTAACCATTTATTCTGAGCCTTTTGTCACCATTCAGTTTGTTTGCAATCCACTTTTTCTTTTTCTGAGACGGGGTCTCACTCTGTAGCCCAGGCTGGAGCGCAGTGGCACGATCTCAGCTCACTGCAACCTCTGCCTCCTGGGTTCAAGTGATTCTCCTGCCTCAGCCTCCCAAGTAGCTGGGACTACAGGCGCACACCACCACACGTGGTTAATTTTTGTATTTTTAGTAGAGACAGGGTTTCACTATATTGGCCAGGCTGGTCTCAAACTCCGGACCTCATGATTCGCCCACCTCAGCCTCCCAAAGTGCTGAAATTACAGGCGTTTGCAATTCACTTTAAGAAATGTTTTAAAATATTTTATTGAGTGAATATATAAAATTCACTTAATTCAAGCAAAGAGTTCAGTAAGTTTGCTCAATGTAAAAATCTGTGTGACAACCACAATAATAAAGATATGGAATATTTTCTGTCATCTTCAAAGGTTCTTTCATTTCCCCTTTGCAGTCCATTCACCTTTCAACTCTCAGCCCCAGGAAGACACTGACCTGCTTTTTGTCATGATAGTTTACTTCTGATATCTTACAATCTCATATAAATAGAAATCTATGTATTCTTTTGTGTCTAACTTCTTTTGCTCAGCTTAATGTTTTTGTGAATTTTATGTTTATCATTAGTTTATTTCTTCTCATTGCGGAGCAGTATTTCACTGAGTAGTATTTTTTTTTTATCCACTTACCAGTTGGATAGACATTTTGATTATTTCTAATTTTGGGCTACAATGGTTAAAGCTGCTATGAATACTAGTGGATAAGTCTTTGTGATCAGGCATGGTGGCTCATGCTTGTAATCCCAGCACTTTGGGAGGCCGAGACAGGTGGGTGGATCACTTGAGGTCGGGAGTTTGAGACCAGCCTGACCCCATCAACATGGTGAAATCCCATCTCAATAATTAAAAAAAAAAAAAAAAAGTTTTGTGTGACTACAGTCATCCCTGTGAGGAATTCATTCTAGGAACCATTCCCCTTAATAAAAAAATCCATATACTCAACATATACTTAACTCCGTAGTCAGCCCCACAAAACCTGCATATATGCAAGTTTTGCATCCTGCAAATATGGTATTTTCAATCCACATTTGATTGAAAAAAATCTCCATATAAGTGAACCTGTGCAGTTCAAACCCATGCTGTTCAAGGGTCAACTATGTATGTTTTCATTTTCAGTAAGTACTTAGAAGTGGAAATGCTAGGTGATATTATAAGTACATTTTTAACTTCATAAGAAACTACTGGTGGTTCACACTTGTAATCACAACACTTTGGGAGTCTGAGGCAGGCCAATCATGAGGTCAGGAGATCAAGACCCTCACAGCCAACATGGTGAAACCCTGTCTCTACTAAAAATACAAAAATTAGCTGGGTGTGGTGGCTCATGCCTGTAATCGCAGCTACTTGGGAGGCTGAGGCATGAGAATCCCTTGAATCTAGGAGGGGGAGGTTGCAGTGAGCCAAGATCATGCCGCTGCACTCCAGCCTGGTGACAGAGTGAGACACTGTCTCAGAAAAAAAAAAAAAAAAAGAAGAAACTACAAAACTGTTTCACAAAGTGGTCATATATCTTTATATTCTGCCCAATAATGTATAAAAATTTT